CATTAAACCAAATAACAAAGGTAATAGTACATCTATATTCAGGAAGAAAGCCCACTCCAACAACAAATATTTAGACTTCAGATTATCACATCCCATCAGCGCAAAGATTTCAGTTGTTTCAAGTCTTCTTAGACGAGCACACTCTCTGATGTTAACAGACGAGAAAGAAAAAGAAGAAATATCAAACATTACTGAAACTCTCTTCAAGCAAAACAACTACCCAACGAACTTCATCAACAAAATCAACACTGACACTAAGTATGGCCGAAAACGTATTCCAAAAACATCGACAACGACAGTCGTCAGTCCATATAGAGCAGAGACGTCAAACGATATCAGAAGAGTACTCAATCAGCTCGACAATAGAGTTTGCTTCAAAACATCAAACACGCCCACTGCGAAACAACCTTGTCCATATAAAAGACCAAATCCCTAAAGATTCTCTATCTAATTGTGTCTATAAAATAAAATAAAATGCTTGGAATGTGATGCGATATACATCGGACAAACATCACCAGAGAGAAATCAAAATCAGAAGAAATGAACACCGTAGAGCATCTGTTCGACCACCGAGAAATAAATTCAGTTCAACTAGAAAAGTTTGAAAAATCATCAGTCATAGGTCGTCTACACGCTACGCTATAGAATCAGGCCACGAAATTGGTTTTGACAATATTGAAATCATCATCCAGAAAAAGCATTTCAGAAATCACAAAGAACGTCTAGTATTATCAGAAGCACCTCGTATCATCTGATGTAATCCGAAATGTCTGAATAGGAATGATGGACTAAACCAGAATCTGACCTGCTTATGACACCCTTCCCATGAAGTGACAAAGTCTACACGAATGTGATACGCAATATCATATAACATATAAACACACACTGTTTTATAATTTTACACGCTGATCAAATCCAACAATCTACACTTGGTTGTGTTATCTTTGCCAATTGACAAACTTGACAACGAAAAATGCCCCCACACTGACGAACGATGATCAAGTTAGAAAACTTTGTTTTGATATCATAACAGATGTTCTATTACCTTTGTTATTTGGTTTAGTGATCTTCATTGTTATGTTTTAACTTTCAATATGTCCTCCTTTTAACTTGACCTAAGTCAAGTCAAGTCTATTTTCTCACTCACCTCTTAACTCTTTGTTATATATGTATGCTGAGTGGATTTTGTAAATTCTTCTGGTTTAATAATACTGCTTTAATAAAGCTTTCAGCAGCAGCAGCAGCATTGAATAGCGAAACGTCAGTAAAACAGAACCCTATAGTTTTGTTTTTCATTCATTCATTGGGAAATACAAGAAAACAACCTTTATTATAATGTGAATACTGACTTACAAGTCAATCAACACTTTCAAAAACACGGTGGTTGGTTAGTTAGTCAGTTAGTTATCCAGACTTTGTTGTCGTTGTTTCGTAAGCAAGTAAGTAAAACAAAATCATATTTGAACAAATTAAATATGAAATGATTTTTTAAATGATAATTAGGGTTACATGAGCATACATATGAGCAAAAAAGAAGCACTATGATAGGCATATAGGCATACGCATAGGCATAGTAATGCTAATCTCATTCGTTAACACAACGAAAACACATTCACGACACTGAACATAATATATATATATATATGATAGAGAAGATTTGTAGCTCAGGTGGATGATTTTGATGTGTTTGTGTTCTTTGAGCTGGGTAGTTAATTTGCGAAACTTTCATCACCCTACTAGGTGACATCTTCAGCGCATACTTCAATTTGAAGTGAGCTTTTAGATTTCTCCACGAGTTTATTAATCATCTCTCTTGGCGACCTTGGACGTGATTGGTTGTTTTTGTGTGTTTTCACACCTTCTAGGTTACTTGTATTGTCACTCATTGTTTCCTTGACTTGAACTTTGCGTGTGTGCGTGAGGTTCTTTCTTATCAGTTGATAAATTTTGTCTATCTCGATGTGTCTATCTATTGATTGATGATTCACTGGAATACCAGGCAGGCTTCTGAAAATTCTCCAGCATTCTTGGTGTTGTTTCCTCTGTCTAATATTTGAACGTTGGTTTGGCTGTCCCAGTCGAATTGATGTCGGTGGTTGTCTGTATGTAGTGATATGAGGGAGTGGACGTCCCCTTCGTCTTCGTATCCACGAACATAAGCTATCCGTCAAAAGACATGACATCCACTCCCTCGCTCATATCACCTCACTACATATAGAAAACCACGAACATCAATTAGACTGGTACAACCAACCTTCAAATATTAGACAAAGGAAACAACACCAAGAATGCTAGAGAATTTTCAGAAGCCTACCTGGTATTCCAGTGAATCATCAATCAATAGACACACATCGAGATAGACAAAATTTATCCACCGATAAGAAAGAAACCTCACACACAAAGGGTCAAAGTTCAAGTCAAAGAAACAATCAGTTACAATAAAATTAACCTAGGTGTGAAAACACAAAAACAGCCAATCACGTCCAAGGTCACCAGGAGAGATGATGAATAAACTCGTGGAGGAATCTAAATACACACTTTAATTCAAATTGAAGTGTGCGCTGAAGATGTCACCTAGTAGGGCGATTAAAGCTTCGCAAATTAACTGTCCAGCCAGCTCAGAGAACACAGCCACATATATAAAGATATATAAATATTTAGAGAGACACAAGCATGCATGTAAAAATAACGAAAGTAGAAATATGTCGACCAAGTTAAACTTTAAGCACCACTAACTACTGCCAGTGGAGTGCGACCGCACCGATGACCTTGAAACGTTCACTGAGCAAGTTAGTGAAATCTGGTAAATAAATAATGTTGTCATCATCAATAAAATATGCTCATCGAAGTGTTATGCTTATTGAATGGGATATCTGGGAAGTTACAGCATAAGTTTAGAGAAGATTAAGCTATTCTTTAAGCCAAGGACAAGTTAGGGTTAGGTTAACCCCCAATAAAGGCGACATAAGGGTGTTGGTTCGAGTTAGATTACAGTTAGTTTACGGATAGGTTCAAGAAAGATTCGGGGTTATTGTTAGGATTAGAAGACCTAAATAATTCCATGCATAGAATGTGATTAAATTACTCTGTTGATATAAGAATAGAACTTGTGCACTGTGGCGGTAGAGTATAATTCCCCATTGTGGGTAAAATTTATTCTGATAAAGTCTCACAGAGTTGTTATACAGTAGTAATATTTACTGATGACCACGTTTCGAGCACAATTTATTACCCAGTAAATATTACTGTATAACAACACTGTGAGACTTTATCAGAATAAATTTTACCCACAATGGGGAATTATACTCTGTTGATACTCCAACCTAAAACTGAGAGCTATTTTTATCACATTTGAGAGGAAGGTATCCTCTCTGTAACACTTTTATACAGTTTTTATGCATTATAAGTTTCCACACCGTAGGTGTTACGAACTTCCTGGAATAATTTGAGCGCCGAGTCAGATTGATTCATTATAAATTATTTAAATTAATCCCAGCGGATTGTTTAAGAAAAGACGAAAATCAAAACAAGATCTGTTTTCTGAACGTTTCGCTGTTTAAGCTGCCACAGCTTCTTCAGCAGATTTATCCGGATTTTCTATTAATCATCAAAATACATATAGTCAAAATTTTTTACATAAATTGAAGTCAGTTTATTTGAAGGTCTCTCGTCGATAGACATTCGTGCCAATAGAAATATGTAAGCAGTCATCAATCATATATTTGTAATTACTAGTGTCAAATTCTCATTGTGTATATTTTTGTATCAGTGTGTGTGAGTGTATGTTATTTGTCATATGACAGAAAAGACGTCAATTCACATGTGATAAACATGAAGGCTCATGGAGTTTTTGTTGTTTTTTTCTTCTGTCTTGCTTCATTAGAGTTTGCCATATAGATGGTGATAAGTCTACCCCTTCTCTCCTTCTTATATACTGCATTCGATGTGGTTCAAATGTGCAAGGCAGGCTTCAGAGGTCAACCTTTCTTTGTGTGTGGAATGAAATCCTCTTGCAAGAATTTCGACATTGTCGAAATCAATCTTATGTCCGGTGTCCATAGATGATAGCGTGCATTGCTATAGCCGATCTTTTCCCCAGACTTTTTAATTCTACTACATTTCTAGGCGGGGACGTTTCGTGCATAGTCTATGCTCATTCACTCTGACCTTCACCGGTCTACTGCTCTCCCCTATATAGCAAGATTCACACTTCTGAACACTTTATCCTATAGACACAATTACTGTGTGACATTTCGGGAACCATGTCCTTGACATGTACCAACGCTTTCTCCAGAGAATTAGAGCGCTTGACATAGACTTTAGGAAGCAAATAGTCTTTGAAGTTGTTCAACTGGGTTCCTTTCGATATTGACATTAGTCATTACAAATATATGATTGATGACTGCTTACATATTTCTATTGGTACAAATGTCTATCGACGAGAGACCTTCAAATAAACTGACTTCAATTTATGTGAAAATTAATAAAAATCCGAATAAATCTGCTGCTGAAGAAACTGGCTGTGGCACCTTCTTACACAGCGAAACGTTCAGAAAACAGATCTTGTTTTGATTCACTTCTTTTCTTAAACACGCTGGGATTAATTTAAGTAATTTATAATGAGTTTTTATGCATTGGTTTTTTTATAAATGCCTCCTTCACGTGATTGGTGCGTTGTTCAAAGTCATTCGCTCGCTGATTGATTGGTGGTACTTAAAAAGTTAACTTTGCCATGTCAATATGTCAATGTACACACACACACACAAAAATTGTCAGCATTTTTGACTGACTAGAGAGGCAAAATACAAAAAATTTTATGCTATATGATATCATGCAAACTTAATATAATTATTGTCTATCTAATGCATGCCAAGCAAGTGAAATACATTAATTAGCAAACAATAAATAAATAAATATAATAATAAGCGTTAAACTAACTACACAAGTGGACAACACCAACTAAGGCGGTTTTTTGAGTTGTTTTTTTTTTCAAAACTTACCATAATAGTCAGTTGAACGATCTGCTGATCAAATTCAAATTCAAATAATAATTCAATTTACACAAGGGATAGATAACACACACTAATTACACAACACAGAAAAAAAACACTAAGGAATATAGACACACAGCACCTAACACAGGAGTGTGTGTTGACGGTGGGTGTCTAAAAAATCTTACCTTACTTGATACTTCTCATATTCAAGTATTGCAGTTTTGTAGGGAGTTTTTGTTTGATTGCATGCAGGATTTCATCATGACCAGCTGACATCAGTTGAAAAAACCACTGGAAAACCAACCTGGGACTACTCGACAGTATAGTTTGGGACTCTTCAGCGGTACGCACCCCAACCTACTGTGGTTCGAACCCAGGACCTTCTGGTTACAAGGCCAGCTAGTGAGCTCGTAGACGATTGAGCAGCCACTGGGACCCGTTCCAATGGTCCTTGAATTCTAACTTCTGCCAAATTCACGCACGACAAAGCTAGCGCGAACATTTCGCAATGTCTTATTCCATGAGTTACTGCCACCTCTGACGCCGTCGCGACGTTAGCCACCTGGCTGTCAAAGGTCGGGTATACAATGCTTCGGTGCGGGTTGTCTTCCTCTACGCCTGTGAAACCTGGCCTCTCCCAGCTGAGGATGTGAGGCGGCAATGCGTGTTCGATCGTCGCTGTCTCCACAGGATTGCTTACATTCGATGGCATCATCGCGTGAGTGATTCTGAGGTCTGGCGACGTGCGTTTGGACACAGTGGAGATCACCATTCATTGAGTGTCGTCATCTGGAAACACCGGCTCCGGTGGCTTGGACTTGTGCTGCGAATGTCATCCCAGAGGCTTCCTTACAGGTCTCTGTCCGCTAGCCAGTAATGGGACGGGATGGAAAAGGCGAAGGGGTGGTCAGTCCATGACGTGGCGTCGTGGGATGAAGGATGTTTGTGCTAGATTAGCATCGGTTGGTGCGTCACGACTCCCTGGTTGGGGTCCGCGAGATAGCCCGAATCGATGGCTCGAAACGTTATCGGATATGGCCAAGAATCGCAGTCATCAATGGCGAACATCGTGCTGCAATTTCCTTCTTTCTTCCCTTCCCGATGATTGTTGACGAATACTGTTTGAACTTGAGCAATAAATTGTGCTCGAAACGTCATCAGTAAATATTACTGTATAACACTGTGAGACTCTATCAAAATAAAAATTTACCCATAATGAATCACCCCTTGTTTTGAATTTCTACATCTAAGAACGTTAGAAATATGCATTGATATGATGAATAAGTGTGCGAAAAAACAAAAACAAAAAAAGCAAACATTCTGGATCTGTGGCTTTTATTTGCCACTACAGACAAAGGAGAATGCGACGAAACTCTAATGAAATTGTATCACACTACAAATTTACCAACCTGATATCAACTACTTGTAACCACCCAACAAACAATATTCTACGATGAATCTAAAGTATACGCGCTTATATATAAATAAATCACACCAACTGAACAATAAGTGATAGAAAACACCAGTAATGTATCACAATGATTCATACAAGGCAGATTCACTAGAGTGTATTCAGTTCAACTGCTCCTGTGGAGTGAGTGAGCCAGTTACTTGCATAGGCCGTACACAATTAGGCGTGTTTCTCGTCGAATTTCCGAACATCACCCTGCTTGGTTAAGCAAAGAACAAACAAAATCTATTTTATCTCGTCTTGTGGATACAGAACACAAGACTGATTGATATCAACAAGGCGGCGGCTTTCAGGGTCATTTACCGCATACCAACTAACAAATCTCAATTTCGCCTTAACAGTTCGACTAGTAAATACATTGCTGAGGCTGGTTGGCTGGCTGTTGGGATCCAGATTAACAAGCCTAATTTGTGCATCCAAAAGAAGTTGGTTGGTTCAGACATTATCCTCACCAGCTTGGCCATCGAGGTTTCAATGATCGATCCTGAATTTTTGTGGAATTTTCCTAATTTTAGTTGATATTCTATTTCCTACTATATCTTTATTTAAGCATCTTTAATGAACTGTGGTGATTCCATTGTGATCTTACTTTACAAATCGATATTACTATTTAAAAAGCACACAGTAATATTGTTATTGACTACTAATCTAGAATATTCTATGTATATAAACATGCATATATAGATATAATTGTAGAGCGAGAGGAGGAGGAATTTATCGAAAAGGATACTCTTTGCTGGCTCAATTATATTTTTTGTTTTATTCAAAATGTGAAAATTGAGAATATAAGTAAGATGAGCGTGTAATAATAACTAACACCAAAACTTAATTCACAGGGACTTTGCAAACACTAGATAGGTGGTAGTCAAGTGTTGGTTTGTGTAGGGATTTCACTGATTGGTGACAGGATTTCATCATGACCAGCTGACATTGGTTAGAGAACCATTGGAAAACCTCCAGGGGAGTACTGCCAGACAGCTGTTTTCCCCGTCCTAGTTCGGGTCCCAATGGCTTAATGGTCTATGAGCCAGCTTGCCTTGTAACCAGAAGGACCTGGGGTTCGAACATTGGCGGTGGGTACGTACTGATGAAGAGTCCAAACTAAGATAAGACGAAGGAAACAGCTTCCCAGTACTCCCTGCAGGTTTTCCAATGGTTCTCTAACCAATGTCAGCTGGTCATGATGAAATCCTGTAACTAGATAGGTAGTATACACACACACACACACATGTCATATGAAGACAAATTAATTGAGATAAATTCAGATTTGGAAAACAGAAAGATTGAGCAAGAAATATTTACTTTTCAATTATTTATTTATTTATTTTATTTTGACTACAGCTTGATGCCACACCGTATTTTCAGTACAAGTATGGCATTTTCAGCATTGTCGGTGGCACAGTGGTTAGGACTCTTGCCGACCATGCACATGGTCCGGGGTTAGATCCCCTACCGACGCACACCCGATATCTGTGGTCGGCCTGCAAAATTTGGGCTACCGATATCCATGCTTAGATCCTCATCTCACTCTGGTTCTACTCCAATATACACATATCGCATTTTTATTACAATACACAACAGTTTACCAAACAAGTGGCACTGATATGTTTGTTAACAATAATTAGTCAGTGTCAAAATGTCAATGGGTTGATAATTAACGAAGAAAATCAATACACACAATTAAAAGGTAGAAATGGTTAGAATAAAAATGCTATGTATATTAGAGTAAAGCCAGAAATGAGGATCTAATTGAAAAGTAAATATTTCTTGCTCAACCTCTCTGTTTTCCAAATGTCTAAATGGGGATATTTTCTATATTGAAATTCAGATTTGTACAATTAAAGTGGATTATCTTTACCAGCATACCAGATACTTTCGTATTCTTGATATAAGTATAAAACTTGGGCACTGTGGTAGAGTGTAACTCCACTATGGATAAGATTTTATTTTGATAAATCACACAGTGTTACACAGTAATATTAACTGATGAGCAATAATTTGTGCTCGAAACGTCATCAGTTAATATTACTGTGTAACACTGTGTGATTTATCAAAATAAAATCTTATCTATAATGGACTTTCGTATTCTACCATTCGACAATATTTTGCCCAAAACAAATGAGAATTAAAGAATCACACTATGTAATTCCATATTAGTTCGTTTATTAGATGGATGTATCACACACAGTCAGTGATTGAAATAGTATTATTTACTGGATGACAAAGTTGTTTCGAACACAATTCACTTATTGTGGTTCATAATCATATCACCAATTATAATCACACGACTTCGAAACTTGAGTTTTATAGTTTTCTTTGTTCTCTCCTATTTGTCGTCCTCATTGGGGTAGTAGAATTTTCCAGATATCCAGCTGGACAGGTGTTGAATCAGCCACCTATTTCCAGTTGATTCCATAAATAAAGCTTCCTGTTACATTACATGATGACAACACCAACAATAAGGAATCTAAATCATCAGTAGTAATTCCATACAAGAAAGGAACCTCGGAAACCACCTTACAGCGGAGAATTCTAAACAAGGCTGGCAGGAATAAAAGTGGCTGCTGGCATTCACACCAACCACAAACTCAATTAGAAACAAGCTTTGTCGGTTAAACGATCAATCCTGTGGAGCCTTTAACTGACAAAACAATTCAGTTTATCTAATACCCTGCCTACGATGATTATCAGGTCAAATACATAGTCAAACTAGTGGAACAGGGGCAGTTGGTCAGTCAGACTAGCCGAGGAGCATAAAAACCTAGCAGCGAAATCTAGATTAGTTGACCCGAAAAAGATAAGAAATCTAGAGAATAGTTCAGGAGCTGTCGCAAGCACTACATGAAGTTACACACAACCATACAATAGTATGGGTGTGATAAGATGACAGTTTTAAAATCTGATGCCACAGAGTGGCAAGTGGGGAAGATTGATAACGGAAGCTTTGTTTATCGAATCAACTCCAAATCAACACCTGTCCACTCTGATATCTGGAGAATTCTACTACCCCAATGACGACGACAAATAGGAGAGGACAAAGAAAACTATAAAACTCAAGTTTCGAAGTTGTGTGATTATAATAATTGGTGATGTGTATGATTATGAACAGCAATAATGATGAATTGTTGTGTTCGAAACAACTTTGTCATGCAGTAAATACTCTGATACTGTTTCACTCACTCACTCACTGACTGACTGTGTGTGATACATCCATCTAATAAACAAACTAATATGGAATTACTTACAACCACCACCACAGTGGCCAAGTTTTACACATTTATTAACCAAACTACGTAGCTTGGTCTATCCTGGTAGACAGGTGGATCTCTTGCAACTATTACCATATCACTATAAACATAATTTAAACATAAAAAAGAGGATGGGTATTTAGATTGTAAACAAAAAAATACATTATACACCGAATATCATAGCTGCTTACTTTCTCGTTCCTCAGGTTCTTCCACTGTTTGTGTTTCCTTGTCGTAAGCTATTACTTCCGATGTTATTACAACTTCAAAAATTTCCGAAGTTTGTAGATTCTTTCGCTTTTTTGGAACACGACTACTGAAAATAGAAAACAACAGAGAAGCGTAAAAAATCGTGTTAGTGGAGTCAGTTACTCTTTCTCTCTCTCTCTCTCTTGTATAGTGCAAGGCTGAAATTTACTACACACTATGAGCTGAAAGATGAACAGGTAATATCAAGCACTACACACAGACACACTACAGTATTAGTAGTAGTAGTAGAAGTAGTACAAGCTGCTACACCACACCATTTTGATGTAGATTAGACTGAACTCAAATATGCAAATCTTGTGAACCCATCTTTGTGAAACAATAATTGAAAACAATTGATGTTCCCTTTATGAATTTAGATAAAGCAGCAATAAGAAGGAAGACGTAATTTGTCTGTCTGACTCGTGTGTGTGTGTGTGTGTGTGCAATGTGCATATTTGCGTGCAACACACATTTCGAACAATCTGATCCATCACACACACACACACACACGGACTTGTCATAGGAATGTCATGCATATGTGGAAATAACAAAAGAGTTAAGAGGTGGGTGAGAAAATAGACTACTTGACTTCTTAGGTCAAGTTAAAAGGAGGACATGTTGAAGGTCAAAATAACAATGAAGATGAATGACTAAACCAAATTACAGAGGTAATAGTACATCTACCCTGGCTGGTATCAAAACAAAATTTACCAAGGAAGGTTTAATGTGATGACAAATTCCTGCTTTGAACGCATAAAGGTGGTTTAAACTTCCTAACCGACAGCTAAAGCTAGCTTCCAAAAACTTTAGGATACGCCCTCACCCAAACACTCTTTTATAGATAGATAGGTTTAAAAGATGTGTTAGTTAACGTCAATTTTATGTCCTGTCTCCTCTACAATATGTTTCGCAATAGGTCGAGCTAGGTCTTTGTCTGTTGTCACCATTAATCGGTTCTGAAGATTCTATTTGTTTCTGGAGCCATTTAGGAATATGCTCTGAAGCCAGTCCTCCCTATGCATGTGTGTGGCCACACGTACATTCAAATTGGTAAATACAGTGAGAGGATGTGACATCATTTTTCGCATGTTCAAAGGGCTTAGATAGGTGGATATATTGGCTTCACTTTCTCAATTATTATGATATTAGCTGCATAAAAACTCTTTTTAATAGTACCAGCAAAAAAATACAAGCATTCAACAATGGTTACTGAAAGTATGATGATCACAAGCTAGAAATAAAGCTGGTAAAGAGGAAAGGTTGGGCATGAGGCTAGCAACTCCATCCTCTAAAAAAATAAACACTGCTACAGAAACTTCAAGTCTCTAGCTTGAAGCCCTATGTCCCACTGAGAATGTGAAGAATTGATAATAATAATAATAATAAATTGATAAATAATGATGATCACAAAAATCATAAGATATGAAAGTCTCCTCTAATCCCAATAATCAGCTGGCCACTACAACTTTTTCATTAGTTATCAACCATTGTTAGATTTTTTACATTGGCTCCCGCCAAATGTAAGATGATGAGGCTACAGGACTGAAGTGGACTACATTGACTCCTTGTTTAGAAATGGGGAGTGAAGTGGTTGGTGGAGCGCGTTGACCGCTTCACTTATTTGGGAAGTACCATCAGCTCCAACGCCAACGGGTTGATCTCTGACGAAATCTCAGCGGGTGTACTGCTCAGCAGTTCCATCTCCCGTGTGAAGTGGTATAATAAGGTGAGCAATATTGAGGTGAGGCGTCAGTGGAGTGCTAGGTAGGTGGGAGGGGAAATCAATCGACAATGAGGCTGTGAAATTACATCGACTGAGATGATTAGGACATGTGTTACGTATGCGTGGCCTAGTCATCGCCTTCCTCCACAATGGGCAATGTTAGCTGACATAGGATGGGTCAGGCTGGAAAAGAGCTAGCCAGTGGAGGTCAAACCAAAACATGACTTCACCAGTCAATGAAGAAATCCACAACAGTTAGTTTAAGCCAGCCAGCCAGCCAGCCACGTAGGAAGGTGTAGACTGGCTTCCTGACTGATTGGGGTCCTCGGGATGACGGTAAAAACCAATGAAGGCTGGAAACAATTGGTGATGATATGGCTCAAAATCGTTCTCAATGGCTGGCTGGCTGGTGCAGATGCATCCACTCCTTGTGACTTATGATTTCCAACGAAACTATATTGTTTCTTTGTTATTACTATTCCTTTGTCTCACATCTCTGTGTACTGTCTCTCTATTATGCATTTCTTCTACTTTCATCTCTAGCTTTGTGTGCTACATGGAGGGAATGTGGCGAATTGAACTGCTGCATATCAGTGCAAAGTTCTATGTCGAAAACAGACAGACAGACATTAGTTTATACTATCACACAGTAGTTTGAATAGCATATGTGGAAACGAAACGCAGGATTTCGATTGCACCAATAAATGCACCATATAGTTAGTAAATATGAGATGAATAATTATTAAGTGTTCCGCAAGAGGTGAGTGAGGAAGGTGAAAAGAAATTGAAAAGCAGAACAAATAACAGGGTAATTAAATCACAGTCACGGATTATGTTTCAATGAAAATAAATGAAAATATTGCCATCTATGTAGTCGATTTGCAGCCATACAACCAATAATCCCTAGAGATTTATTCGGAACACCATCGTCGTCATCAAGTTAAGCAGTTTGACTGAATTTACAAAATTAGAACTTGTCATCAGTATACGTGGTTGTTATGCTAACCCAAACACACACACGCACGCACCTACACACAACTACAGGAAAGAAATTCAGTGTAAGCCAAGTACAATGGACGAAGAGGAAGAGGAAGAGAGAAAAACAAACATGTGAATGTTAAGAAGGCAATACGACACAATACTACTTAAACCAACAGTTTGCGTTTATGCATCAAACATGAGGCAGTCAGCATCGCACTATATGTAGCTCAAACCAACAGTCACAGACTTAGCCATAGATTGATGCCACTTTTACTGACCACATCTAACTGTTCTACTAACTGATTCTTATTTCAGTTAGCATTGCGCTCCAATGGTGTTCAGTCAGTGTGCCTAAAATATCTTATCCTACCTTCATTAGTATGTGTACAGACATAAAAGGGTTTGTCTGACTAGCAGTTTCTTAGATTCTAATTTCCAAAAAGACCTGAGGAGAAGTGCTCATGATGACTCATAAAATGCTGTACCAACCACATATTCACCTATCAGCTGGTCCTAAAGCAGAAATAAAGTTAATGAGATACCACACACACGTTTACTTTTCTATAGTTTGGTTTTTACTTTTCTTGAACCCGAAAACAGAACAAAAATCCCACCCATCAAGAGATGTTGTGGTCAAATCTGGCAGATAAGGGAGGGCTGGGAGATTATATTAAACCAATTAATTCCATATTAGTTTGTTTATTAGATGTATCACACAGTCAGTGAGTGAAACAGTATTAATATTTACTGGATGACAAATTTTGAACACAATTCATTATTGCTGTTCATAATCGGTCGGTTTTCGACATAGAACTTTGCACATATGTGCGGCAGTTCAAGTCGCCACATTCCCTCCATGTAGCACACAAAGCTAGAGAAAGTAGGAGAAATGCATAATAGAGAGACAGTAAACAGAGGTGTGAGACAAAGGTATAGTAATAGCGAAGAACAAAACAGTTTAATTAGAAATCATAAGTCACAAGGAGTGGATGCATCTGCGCCACTGAGAACGATTTTGAGCCATGTCACCAATTGTTTCCAGCCTTCATTGGTTTTTACCGTTCCGAGGACCCCAACCAGGTAGTCTACACCTTCCTACGTGGCTTAGACTAACTGTTTTAGATTTCATTGACTGGTGAAGCCATGTTTTGGTTTGACCGCCGCTAGCTCTTTTCCAGCCTGACCCTATATCAGTTAACATAGCCCATTGTCGAGGAAGGCGATGGCTAGGCATGCATACGTAACACATGTCCTAACCATCTCAGTCGAAGTAACTTCACAATCTCGTCGACTGATTTCCACTCCTTACCTAGCACTCGACGCCTAACCTCAATATTGCTCACCTTATTATATTATTATTGGGGTGAACAGGTGTTGAATCATTCCTATTACATGTATTTGCAGTTGAAGCAGCTTTGTTTATAGAACCAACTGCAAATACGTGCCTGCAATAGGAATGATTCAACACCTGTCCAGTCGGATATCTGGAAAATTTTGCTTCTCCAATGACGACAAATAGGAGAGAACAAAGAAAACTATAAAACTCAACTTTCAAAGTCGTGTGATTATAATTGGTGATATGATTATGAATCACAATGATGAAGTGTGTTCGAAACTTTGTCATCGAGTAAATACTAATACTGTTTCACTCACAGACAGTGTGGTGATACATCTAATAAACAAGCTAATATGGAATTACTTACAACCACGACCACAGTGGCCAAGTTTTACACATATATTAATAAACCAATTAAAGCACTGTGCTTGAAATTGTGGAGCCGCATCAGAAATAACAGCGACTAATGGAGTTTAGGCAGGCTCACTATACTTACTCTCATTCAATTTAATTACAGATGTACTGATGGAGTTGACTGTCAGCGAATCTGGCGACCTAGAGACTGAAATGTTACGTGGGGAAAAATTTCCGATTTAAGATGTGTCGATGTTGTGAAGGTTGACTTGCAATTACACAAAAGTCTTATCAACTTAAGGTCCTTTAGATAACTCTAGAAAGATGTAGTCTTTTGAACACCTTGACAAAAACAATCGTGGTTTGGAATGCGACCAGATACCGCCGAATAAAAGATGCTGCTGCGGGACAGGTCTACACAAGCTCGTAGTTTAGAGATTAGGAGTGATCCCTAATCTACGCATTTAGGAAGCAGCATCAACTCTAAATTTCAGCACATAAAAAAACTCATGTGGCAGGCGTCAACTTGCATCAATTTTTGCTCAGATGTGATGTCTACCTATTAACCAAAGTGTGAACTGTGCAGTAATTCACCCTGTCACTCTTAATGGTTGAGATGTAGTCACGCATAGAATCGAAGTCTGATTATTTTGTGTTACTCAGTTGTATGGGTCAACTGCAGTTTGAGACTTTAGGTGTCATGTCCATGGACCTGACCTATTATCTCTTTTTCTTCCCACCAGGTCGGAACGCCTTAGAGGACATAGAGTTCAGACGCCAAGAAGAAATCATATTGCCGTTGATTACTGGTTCTCACATCGAGTCATAAACCCTTGGAACCGACTGACTCCCAGAAGAAGTGATGTCTGCGACCTCAACTGATTCATTCAAGAAGGGTTTGAACAACCACAGAAATTTATTAGAAAAGGACTAACATAGGCTCCAAGCCTTCTTTCCTCAACCAATCAATCTAAATGACACTAAATCTTCCCTTTTGTCGCTGATATATCAACTTCTTGTGGTCTTTATTAATCATTAATTCATCGTCATCCTTTCATTTGACTGAATTACTCCTGTTTATTTTTTTTCACAGAATACAGATGTACTCATACTGTACGATTTCAAGTCTCTATACCCAAGCTTACAACAATTCTAAACTTATTCTAACCTATTCTTCGATAATGCTTTTTTATGATAAATGAGGATTTTATCAACGCACTACTCTAGTCGTGCTAAATAATGTCCTGTGAGGGCTGGATCAACGCTGATTAGTAAACCCAGTAGGTTCTGATCTACTCCTGAAAATGCCTAGAAAAAAGAAAACACGGTGCTGTTTTAGTGCCAGTCATGCTAAAAACCAGCACTGATTTCTAGTCTGTGCCATTAAAGAATCCATTTCAGAACAGATTCAGAATTTACTCACTATAGAATGTTAGAATTATTTCAGAATTAGTGAGATTTAATTCAGCATTGTAGTTAGCTTGGGATAGTAATAAGTCCTACAGTAGCAATTTTATTCAGTCAATTTCATGTTTAGATGTAATGTGCAAATAAAAAAAATATAAGACCAAACTGAGCAAAAATATTTAACATTAAGGAATAACACCATGAAATGACTACAGTTATTTCTTTTAAAAGAAACACCTACAACATACATCTGTGCAACAGCAAGTAAAAATTTATACAAAAATGTACTCACGGAAGGCCATCACTTATGGTACTAGACGGTGACTCCAATTCGCGTAAATTCAAGCTTGATGTAGATGACACAGCAGGTAAACCCAGACCTTTCAACAAATCATCTGCTGTTTGATGTTTGTCGATAGCATCTGTATCAGGTTTTTTGCCCTCCTCCCTTTTCTTTTTTTCCTCGCGCAAAGCTAGAAGTTTAGCTTTTTTCCTCTCTAATTCAGCCTTCCTATCAGACATGACCGACGATTTGGTGTGTGGAGAGAATTCGTTTGTAAATGGCGCTGGTGAGTGTTTTGTGCAATTTCCAATGTCTTACGATCTTGTTTTAAAGTGTACATATACGAACTGCCCCCACTGCCATTTGCTCTTTACCGTTGTGCTGTCAACATGCACATTCGTTGAGACTGTAACATAACCATATTCTTCAGATAATTTCTACACCTTCCTTGGATATTCTTTCCCTTAAATATATTTAAATATGCATATATATACATAAATATATATTGCGCACCAGAGCACATTTCCCTAGTAACCAACCTCTTTTAATTCGTGTTCTCTCATCAGTACTTACGGGTTAGGTGCAATATTGGATTATTGGGTACATAGATAAATTAAGTTTCTGGCTGATGAAATGTAACTTATCAACGGCATTAGCATTAGTGTGTACAGATTTCTCAGCATGATTGGCTGATATTATTGGGACTTCTATTGTGAAACCTTGTTTGTTTCTCGTGACACTAATATTAACTTCTGTCGATCCTACTTCGAGGTCAAAGTGGGACCTAGGTTTTCACAGGCACACCTCCACTGTACTGGTTTGTCATAATTTCATCAGTCTCTGCGACTACCGAAATGCCCCAATTTATTCTCCACTTAATTCCCATGTCACCCTCGGATGCTTAAATCTTTGCTTCCCACCCGGGTTGCATCTGAGGGCCCGACGTGTGATGTCGCTTAAACGTCACTTTAGCGTTTAGAGGTTGACGGGTATCGACGTTCGCGAGTTGTACGGATTATACTAACGCAAGATCTTATACCAACAACCACTATAGTGTTCGTTCTTCGAGTACCAAATGGTAAAGCAAAAGACCAGATTTTGTCGTCCAAATACGATATATATTTTGGGACCAAATCGCGGGTAGGAATGAATGCTTAGCTAGCTAGTAATCGTGCACGCACGTGACACGACGGAGCACCAAATGGCGGGGATGCTTGACCGTAAGCCTTCAGCTAAACAAGTCGACTTAAACAGTGATGGTCAGCATCCAATGTTGAGTGATGATTGCTGTGGTTAATAATTTTGGGGAATTATTTACCGCTAGAGCTCACTCCCCCCCTAGTGGGGTTGTGAGGACCCTAAGACATGACCAGCCGGAAGTAAAAAAATCTCGATGGTTCCCTGATGGGTGAAAAAAATCTTCCAAGCGGCTTGATGGAGAGCCTGCTGGTCTGTCTGCCTATGCTAATAGGGTGTCTGTACATAGCTTCCTCAGTGTTGTTCGTTGGATCCCGTGCTTCGTTTGTTTTCTGTCCAGTGCCCGTTGCACCTGGAAAAGAAAACAAGAATGCTGAGAACCTTGTCAAGAAAAATGTACCAAATAAGCGTTTTTTACCGAAAAAAAACATGACATGCATCTACTATACAGTAAAATAATGTAAAGTTCAAAATATCGGAAAAAAAATATACATCTAATTTAATTTAATGTACGGTTATAGGAAAAATATCATTTACTTGTGTTAAATGATGCAACATAAAAAAAATTGATGTGTCACTCAGTTATGTGAGATAGGTGTGAAGGTATTCTGGGAATCTAACGTGACGTCCAGAACGCGTTTTTTTAGAGTGATCGACCGAAGGTTCAGTGGCTTTCGCCGTGCTAGGGAGTTCTTCGAAGACTGAAGTAGATTCAATTACTTGTGAATTATCGGGTACGTTTAGCTCCAGGCTAATGGGGTTACCTTCCAAGTAAGCTGGTTTCAGACGGTCGATACTGACAGTGTCTTCGCGGCCTTTTTTGTCTAAAACGAAGAATTTATCAGTACGTTTAATCACTTTATATGGTCCGTCATATGGGGGTTCTAGAGGACGACGTACCGAGTCGCGACGAACAAATACATGTGAAGAAGTTTTTAAACAAGGGTGAACGAAAACATCAATGGACTGTGGTCGGAGGGGAGCAGGTTTAACTGAACGCATAGCGTTTGTAAGCCTGCTGACGTATGAGGAGTGATCTACCACTGGTGGGAAGCTCGAGGGAGAAACAAACTCACCTGGCAGTCGTAGGGTTGTGCCATATACTAGCTCAGAGGTAGTACAACCAGCATCGGTTTTTAAGGCGTTTCGTATCCCTAGGAGAACTAACGGAAGGGATTCAGTCCAGTGGGTGTTATTTGCAGCTGATAAACCAGCTTTCAACTGTCTGTGTAGACGTTCTACCATACCATTCGCTTGAGGATGGTAGGCTGTCGTTCGAAAACGCATGCAACCAAGGATTTTAGTCAAAGCGAAGAATAAACCGCTTTCGACTTGCCGCCCACGATCAGTTGTTATGGAAGATGGGCATCCAAAGTTTGCGATCCATCTCTCTACAAAGACGCGTGCGACAGTTTCGGCAGATATATCCTTGATGGGTACTGCTTCAGGCCATCGTGTGAAGCGATCGATGCAGGTTAACATATAGGTGTATCCATGAGATTCTGGAAGGGGGCCAACTAAATCTATATGGACGTGTTCGAAACGGGCATCAGGGATAAGAAAAGTGCCAAGGGGGCTTTTAGTGTGTCGTATTACCTTGCACTTTTGGCAAGCTAAACACGTCTGTGCCCATTCCCTTACTTCTTTGTTAATACCAGGCCAACAAAACCGACTAGTTACGAGCTTGACAGTAGTTCGAATACCTGGATGGGATAAGCCATGCAACGTATTGAAGACGTTACGGCGATAACTTTTAGGCACGATGGGGCGAGGAGTACTAGTGGAAATGTCACACAGAATAGTATCCTTTCCTATACCTATGGGTTTCTTGGCTAGTTGTAGAGTTGTTTTCGACAACTCACGCTGAAGCTCAATATCTTCTTTTTGAAGACGAGCCAGTTTCACAAGGTCTATGCCGTCGATTTCGGTGAAAGAACAAATACGTGACAAGGCATCTGCCACAGTGTTGTTCACTCCGGAAACATGGCGAATATCTGATGTAAACTGTGAAACGTAATCTAGTTGTCGCGATTCCCTGGGTGAATACTTATCTGAAGTTGAGTTCAGAGAGTACGTCAGAGGTTTGTGGTCAGTGAAAATGATGAATTCACGACCCTCAACTGAATGTCGAAAATGACGTATAGCACAGTACATAGCTAGAAGTTCCCTTCCGAATGTGCTGTACTTCGTTTCAGCTACGTGAAGGCGCCTCGAGAAAAAGGCGAGTGGTTGCCACTCGTTGTTAACTAGTTGTTGCAGAACTGCGCCGATTGCAGTGTCTGATGCATCAACCGAGATACTCAACGGTGCCGTTGGATCCTGATACATAAGAAGAGTGGCATCTGCAATAGCTTTCTTTACCTGAGTAAAAGCATGTCGAGCAGACGTGTCGAGTTCGATAGCCTTGTTGTTCCCTCGAAGGAGATCGGTTAATGGCTGAATTAGAGAAGCACAATTAGGAATAAAACGTCGGTAATAACTTACCAAGCCGTTAAAAGTGCGAAGGCATTTTACTGTCTTTGGCTCCGGAAAGTTCAGTATTGCTTCGACTTTAGTAGCCAGTGGGCGTATGCCCTGGCAGTCAATAGTGTGACCCAGAAAATCGAGTGAGTCAACGCCTATCTGACACTTCTGTATCTTGATGGTAACACCATGTTGGCGTAACCTTTCAAATGCCAAGTCCAAGTGTCCAAGGTGAGTTTCCTTATCTGGACTGGCAATGAGGCAGTCGTCTAAGTATGCGTATACAAAGTCGAGACCGCGAAATACTTCGTTGATGAAGCGTTGGAATGTTTGGGCCGCATTCCGGAGGCCGAATGGCATACGTAGGAATTCGAAAAGTCCGAAAGGCGTGATGATAGCCGTTTTCGGAATATCTTCCGTTGCCATCGGGATTTGGTTATATGCTTTAACCAAGTCGATTTTGGAGAATATAGATGCTCCAGATAACGTTGCCGTCAAGTCGTGTATGTGAGGCAAAGGGTAGCAATCAGGAGTTGTTTTGGCGTTCACTCGCCGGTAATCACCAGTGGGTCGCCAATCGTTGCTATCCTTTTTCGGTACCATATGCAACGGGGATGCCCATGGACTATTCGATGGTCGAATGATGCCAAGGGTGAGCATATGATCGAATTCGTTTCTGGCAATTCTCAGTTTGTCAGGGGCCAGTCGTCGTGCTTTAGATGTCACGGGCTGTCCTGAGGTTATGATGTGGTGCATAACATTGCTGGTTATACACGGGAGATCGTTAGATGGGCAATTCAGTTCCGGATATTTATCAACAATCGGTTGAAAAGTTGGATCGAGGATTGCTTTCATCTTAACGATTGACAAGCTGGGGCCTACGTAAGTTATGCCTTTGATAGACAAACTAGTAGTGTTGTCAATTAATCGTTTACGGCGGACGTCTACGAGCAAATCATGATGATTAAGTAGGTCCGTGCCAATGATGGGCATTGTGACGTCAGCGATTAGGAAAATCCACTGAATAGGTTTGCGTAAACCTACGTTCAGATAGACGTATTTCCGACCATAGGTTGCAATTGGTTTTCCATTTGCAGCCTGTAGGTTGAAGTTAGGATCCTTCTGTCGATCTGCTGCTGTAGCAGGAAGGACGCTGACTTCGGCGCCTGTGTCGACTAGATATCTAGTCTGGCTAATTACATCATGGATGTAAAGTAAGCGGCTAGTGCCACCGGCGACGGTTGCCGCTAACGCGTGCCGGCGGGATAGTTTCCCACAGACTTGGAGGCTTTGCCGAAATCACAAGGTTTTCGACAACATTTCGCTTCCTTGCCATAGGTGTTGTGATACCAACACCAGTCAGGATTTTTGAGAGAGCGTGTGTTGGACTTAGATCGTCCACGTGCGCTTTGCCGTTGAGGGGATTTAGAACGACGATAGGAGGAATTGCTAGGCTTGTTTGACCTAAGCATCTGCTGGACGGAGTTGATTAACTCTATCATTGCAGAGTCCTTCTTCGAAGTCTGTTCGGTAACAGAGTATACTTCGGTAACTGGCCGTTTCGTTATCTCTAGAATTC